AGTGATGACGGCATTCGTGCATCCCTCCTTTCCAGAAGACATCGTTGTTGGAGAACTTCGTGTTACCCTAGGTTTCCATCATTGATGGTTGATGATGATGTTTGCCGCAGTTCTTCCATACACCATCTTATTTCATTTGTAATAGTTTAGCTTTGTGAATCATTGATGTCTCAACTAGCTCTTGACTTTGTGTTTGCGGGGCGGATTAACTAGTTGCTTCGCGCATTATTCTTGTTCTCGTTAAGGCTCGACTCATTATGCTCGGAACTTAACGAGCAGAAAACCCTCCTCAGCTCGGTTCGTTGGAGAAGCCTGTTACACTCGCGAGCTTTCGTTAACATGCATTACCTTATTTTTCTTCAGCTACGAAGTGTTGCGACATGTGGGATGAGAGTAGGGTGTGTTTTTACGAAGGGAGACCAGAGGATGTGTGTCAGCTGCTACCTCCAAGGAGATGGGTTTGGTCAATTAAATTGAATAGGTGGGTTAAGTTTCAATGATATACCATCCCTTAAGAAAAAAAATCTTTGTTCGGAAGTATAACGAGCTTAAGAAGTTACTCTTGAAACTTCTTAGTTGCTTTTTTAAGCTCGTTAAGTTTGATGAGCTGAAACCAATGATTGGCTATGTTCATTAAAAAGTGAACTACGAGCTTAACTAGTCGAGCTATGGAGCGCTCATTTAACTTGTGAGTTACAAGCTTTTGATCCAGCCTTAGATGTTATTAAAAAAATATGAAAATATCTCGCTACCATGCGTGGACCAGTGATCAACTTGTGATCCCAAGTTTCTAGCTGTCATAGCTTCTGTATAACTCGCCAGATACGAGCTTTGGTGCATCCCTAGATGCATAGACTGGTATAATTGATATCCTCTTGATTTATATATATTCTTTTTATTCATATAAATATGGAAACATATCGCTACCCTCAGTGATCAACTTGTGATCCCAAGTTTCTAGCAATCAGCTTCAACATACCAGTTTGCCATAAAAGTACTACTACCTCCGTACCGCTATTAACTTCAAGGATGGAACGGTATATGTAGTCAACAAAAGAAGGACAAATACTTGCACGATACTGCAGATTAGTACCGATATTACAGTATATTACTCTACTTTTGTCTCCATCTGCATATGTCGGTCACTCAAATCGGTTAACCCCGAACTCCCGGACAAATTTCGCATGTCTGTCTGGCTGGCATGCTACCTGTTAACAACCACATGTGTACAGTGGAATAACTGAAATTTTCTTTTGCTCCAACAGAGTAATGTTTATGATTCAGGACATCTTCCAAGTTCAGGTCCTTTACTGCAGCTAATTGGCCATCTCTATCTAACTTATAAACATCTTAGATGCTGGGACTGTTCACTAACCCCGTATGAATACCATTAGCAGTTGGAAGTCGACGTGTGACAGCACACTGCATGCACACGGGACAAAATTCAGGTTGTCAAGTGTCTAGCTGTCTAAACATTTCATCTCTACCGTCAGAGGTCTAGGAACAGAGTGACATCCATCCCAGGATGTATGGATGGAAATATGCTGCAGTCAGACTCAACTGACCACTTTGTCAAAATGGAAAAATAATTGGTTATTAGACGATTAACTGACGACGGATGGATACATGCAGTCAACAGACGAAGGATAAACACATACACTGTATCTCTAAAAAAACATGGATGGTACTCCTACGTCTCTGCAGATTAGTATACCATGCAGTATAGTATATTTTTTTGTCTCCATTTGCACATCTCAATCACTCGAAATTAATTATTGACTTTTCTTGCAGAATTTGAACTCCCGGGCAAATTTTGCATGGCTGGCTTGCTACCTGTTAACAACCACTTTGGTTGGAAGAATTATTTCGCTCGAACAGAGTAATGGTAGCTTATGATTCAGGCAAATGCTGCCCGTTTCCCATCTCCAACTAATATACCGAACCATTTTGTAAGCTACGATGATTGTGCGCTTGTGGCAACGACCCTAGCCTGCTAGCTACCCAACTATAGATCTCCAACCAAAACAAATGTCGTACCACTAAAAATTTAAATAGTGTCGGTTGTCATGGTAATGCAGGCCATTGCATAGAGCTTTAATCTGAACAGGATTAGTGCCTTCTTGCACACACAAGTATAGCGATGGCAATGTCCTCTTCTTTCTCAGTGCTGTTGCTCCTGTGCCTGGGGGCGGCCACCTCGGCTTGGCCGCAGCTTTCGCCTCAGTTCTACGCCAAGTCATGCCCCAGGGCGCTGGCAACCATCAAGACAAGAGTGCCGTGACCTCTGCCGTGAGGAGTGAGCCCCGCATGGGAGCGTCGTTGCTTCGACTGATATAGTGATCAAGCAAGGTAGGTTGAGTACATTTTAGCCCAAACCACGTCTCCTCCCGTGTCGCCCCCTGCGCGGCGACCGGGGGGAACCCTAGCGCCCCCGCGTCCTAGCCCCTCCCCCGGCATCTCCTCCTCGCCGCCGCCGGGGCGCGCCGCCGGGCAAAGCCCGGTCCGCGTCGGCGGCGGCGGGATCTCTTCTCCCACGGCTCGCTGGATCTGGTGCGGGCGGATCGCGGTGGCGGTTGGCGGCGCGGGCTTGGGGACGACGGCAGTTTCCCCTGGTGTGCGTGGGAGTCCGCTCGGAGCGCGCGGCGGCGGCCCTCGGCAAGCGATGGCGGCCGCTGGGCTCTGGGCTCTGGGCGGCGCTCCGGCGTGTGCAGGCGGCGGCGGTCCCTGTGCGCGGTTGGCGGCTCCGTCTCTGACCCGGACGGCGCGAGGGATGGCGGCAGCCCGGCGTGGCCGGCGATCTGGATGCGGTGGTGCCGGCGGCTCGCTGATCAGCCGGTGCTCCAGGGTTCTGCCTGGTGGTGCTGATGGTGACGGAGGCCCGTGCACGAGAGTTGGATCCCTTCGAACTGATTTGGGTGAAAACTTGCCTTCGTGTCTGCTAAGGCCGACGGTGGCGGCGCTATCTGCGACGTTTCCTTCTTGAAGGCATCGCCGTGGGGAAGTTCAAGGCCTCTCTCTGCTACCTCAGGGGGAAACCCTAGATTGGATGATCGGATGATGGCGTTGCTCTGGTGTCGTTCCTCCCTTGCGGGCGTCATTCTTGGAGGTACACACGTGATCGAGGGACCAGAGGACGGATTCTTTGGTGGAGCGGTGCTTCACCCTACACACTGATGGCGACGGATCTTGACGGCGTGGCGCAGTGCAGATTCGGAGTTCGCTGTGGGAGGATGGACTCGCGCAGGAGGACGACGCTGTCGGGCATCGTGGTGGCGTCGATGGCAGAGAGACCTGACACGATACATGCAACAGTACATCTTTGAAGATGGATTGATAGCAGGTGGCTGCGGCAGCCTCATACCTGGCAGGCGTCCTGATTGAGGAGTGCGCCGGACTGGTAGGTGCCCCATACCCGGCAGGCGTTCTGGTTGGGACCTCAGGTCTTAGATGTTTAGGTTTGGCTACGATGTGTGTTTGGTATTAGGCCCAGACTATCTACGTCCCTTCATCAATTGGATAGGTGTAGCGACAGCTGTTGCTTAGACGGTGGCTTTAGTCTTGCTGTTATATGGCTTTGTAAGGTCTTGTGAGAATAATTAATAAAGTGGCCATATGTATCGCCCAGATACAGAGACCGGGGGTTATCCTTCTTTTTTTTAAAAACGACTACTTTGTCCAAGCAAGTCCCTCTCACTCATCGTCTCCCTTTACTTACTACCGGTAATACTATAGTTTCTATTGCACACATTAGTACTAGTATATACTCCTTCCGTCCCAAAATTCTTGTTTTACATTTGTCTAGATACGAATGTATCTAATACTAAAATATGACTTGATACATTCATATTTTAACAAATCTAAGACAAGAATTTTGGAAAAGAGGGAGTACTTAATTTAGTAGGTCTCCTAGTCCTAGATCGACCAGTTAATCACACTGTCTTCAAAGTCATTGCGGTATGAAAAAGCTAATGGAATGGAACACTACTACATATATTATGTAGGAGTACCTAACTACATAGTTGACCCTAGTCCATGCATGCATTCTAATTAATGTGACTTGCCATGCAAAATAAATAAATCAATCTTACTTATCAACTATTTCTTACAGTGACTTCTCAGGCCATGCTTAGATTCAAGGGACTATTTTTAGTCTGACTAAAACTAGTCTCTTTTAGAGGCTAAAGTTCCATTCACCCCTGACTAAAGAGAGGCTAGAACTAGTCTTGAGACTAAAAATTTTTAGTCAGGGGAACCCTACTAAAATGTAGATTAGTCCTCTCTCTCCTCATTTAACTTCTTTCCTTTAACACATGCAAGTTCGGGATGGAAGGGTTTGGAGAATAATAAATGCTCATTAACTCATTTTAGTCTATTTAGTATTTGTATTCAAGCATGGGTGAGGCTATCAAGTTTTAGTCCCACTACTTTTAGTCATAGGACTAAAACGTATCCAAGCACCCTCTCAATTCTTGAGTTCAAATCAACTATAACAGAATTATATTGTACTACTAGTGAATTTATCTTGATGGAAATAATTTCTTACATGTGTGACGACTAACGATGCATCAGGGCTGCGACGCGTCCGTACTGCTGAGCGACACGACCACCTTCACGGGCGAGCAGGGGGCAGCCCCGAACAACAATTCCATTCGAGGCATGAACGTCACCGACAACATCAAGGCGCAGGTCGAGGCCGTGTGCAGGTAGACCGTCTCCTGCGCTGACATCCTCGCCGTCGCCGCCCGTGACTCCGTCGTCGCCGTAAGATCGATTTGGCGCCATGCCTGTCAATTTGCTGAACGCACGCGACAGTAAAATAAGAAACTTAGTTCTTTATTAATTGCTTGCAGCTAGGAGGGCCTTCGTGGACCGTTCCTCTGGGAAGGAGGGACTCAACGACGGCGAGCCTCTCGCTGGCCAACAACGACCTGCCTGCACCGTCCTTCGACGTCGCCAACCTCACCGCCAACTTCGCCGCCAAGGGGCTCAGCGTGACCGACATGGTCGCCCTCTCTGGCGGCCACACCATTGGACAATCGCAGTGCCGGTTTTTCAGGAGCAAGCTCTACAACGAGACCAACATCGACACGGCCTTCGCGACATCTCTCAAGGCCAACTGCCCCCGACCGACCGGCTCCGGCGACAGCAGCCTGACGCCTCTGGACACGAAGACGCCCAATGGGTTCGACAACGCATACTACAGCAACCTGATGTCCCAGAAAGGGCTCTTGCACTCCGACCAGGTGCTCATCAACGACGGACGCACCGCCGGCCTGGTTCGGGCGTACTCGTCGGCGTCGGTGCAGTTCAATAGGGACTTCGCGGCGGCCATGGTGAGGATGGGGAACATCAGCCCGCTCACCGGGGCGCAGGGGCAGATAAGGCTCAGCTGCTCCAGGGTGAACTAAGCAACTGATCATAGCCCTAGGTCTGGCCGTACTTGGTTTTACCTGGTAATGGTGGCGTTTTTACGCAATTACCCAGTTGATGACATTGCTTGAACTTTGCTCGGGCATGAACTTCAGGGTGAAAACTCACGATCTAGCCTTCAGTGGTTGGATCCGACGATGACAATGCTTACGTGTCAGTGTCGTTCCCTACTTGAAGGTATTGTTTTTGAAGAACCTTTATCATAGTCCTCGTGTTGTCAAGAGATAGTTGGTGCCGATTGTCAGTTTTGTATACAATTGATCGCTGCTTGATCGCTTTGGTTATTTTCCTTTTCCTTTTCTCCTTCCGCTAAGGCATAGTTTTGTATAGTGTGCATCTAAGCTTGCAGAGGCTCGGTGTTCGCTCATTGTGTTCGTGTCTGCTATATGCTTCGTTATGAGTAAATAAAAACATGTTTTGTAGAGAAAAAAAGGCTTTCTACTCTCTTCATCGGGCAAAATTACCACATACAGTATCATTACATCTGTTGGCATGTGCCGTCGTGGCTTCTCCGGCTGTTTTCTTCTTCGCAGTTTCGGGTTCCATGTCGGTGGCCAGGTTAGCTGGTGGTGCCCATGTCATATGGGTTGACTTGTATCAGTTTTAGCCTGGTTTTTCGCCAATTAACCGGGCAATTTTCTTCTTCTTAATCAATGAAAATGGCAAGTCTTTTGCCTCGTTTCAAAAAAAAATAAAATTACCACACAACTTTTTTTCTTTTTTTTCTTCTTCTGCGGGAACACTTACCACAAAGTGTGGGGCTCTCACGGACGACCCAGCGACCCGGTTTGAATTCCTGAGTTGCTTCCAAAAGCGGCGGCAACTTGGCGGCCTCACTAGTCGATCGGGGTGGAGCGCCACGCTCCCCCAGTACCCCTGAAATCGACGTGTGCCCAACCCACGCATGCACGCTTCACCGGTAGTGCCACACACACTAGCTACTTCTCCTTCCATTCGTAGATAGCTGCAGTTTTCCGGCGTGAATGGCGAGAGATCCTTGGATTGGACCCATACGGCTCAGACAGGATCATGGGACGTCGCTCGCCGCCTTCCGCGCTCCGTTGGAACAGAGAGCTCCCCGACGACGCCGTAGCCCTCGCACGCACGGAAAATTCAGTCGGAAGCTGCTGACTGGTATCGGATGAAGCTACTGGTATCATAAGAAAATCCAATTACGTACCGGACTGGGAGCACGAAATACAAATAGGTCTACAGTGCTGCTGCAAGAGGTTTCTGGATTTTCGGGGCTGACGAAATGTTGAACACTCATGTGTTTCAGGGTCGGTTATTTCCACGCGAATCGGCCGACTGACAGATACCCGAATGCAGAATAGTTAACCTACCAAGTGGCCAGCATCATCCATCGTACATGCCAAGTAGTAGACGATGGATGACCCCTTTTTCGTTGCTGCGCGCGACGTCACTGCCGCACTCACTCACTATCCACCAGTCACCGGAGGATCATTCTATTTTTGACAAGATCTGGCCCTTTTCGCGTCATGCCAACCGGGCCCGTCGTCGTCGGTCGGCGCTGCTTCTGTCCGCTCCCGTGGAAAATTTGAAGAACCCAACGAGCAGCGCCGCCTGCTGAAAACGATCGGATTATGGGGTTCCATGCATGCATGTTTGGTGCGGGGTCGGCGTCGCCGTTGTTGAACGGATGGATTGGTTTGCAGAGTTTGCATTTGCAAACTGTCAAATGGGGTACCGGCCAGCTGTGGTGATGGAGCCATCTTTATCTTCAAGTAGAGAATCTGGCATCATGGCCATCTCTAACTTACAAAGTTCTTAAATGCTGGGACTGTTCACTAACCCTCGCTTGAATACCATTAGCAGTTGGAGGTAGATGTCTGACAGCACACTGGCTGCTTGTTATGTACTCCCTTTGTTTCACATTACTTGTGGCTGATTTAGTTGAACTTTATACTAGATATACGACAAACTAATACGGAACTGAGGGAGTACTTGATTGTCAAGAGTTTAGCAGTATATCCGGCCTTAACGTTCATCACACACAAATATAAACGATACTTCAACATATGGAAGCTCGATCAGTGGTGTAGCTGTAAGAAAAATCGCTCTTTCATCAGATGTGCCTAGAAAGTAGAAACATATTGACATCAATTTTAGAATGTATGGATGTGGATATATCTCTGCGTAGGTGGACTGGATTTTCGGTGCCATGGAAGAGGTGGTGACGGTGGGTGTTCTAGGCATTGCTCGATAGCATGTGTTGCCCACGCATGGTTCCACTTATGTGGCTAGCTCTATGTGTACACGTACACGGGTGTGTGATGATCGATGGATAGGCAGGTGGTGGGAACACAGGGCGACGTCGCCTAGGTGGATCTCTCTGAGGGTGTCAAGTTCTAGGGGTGAAATC